GGCTGGGAAAGAACTCTGAAGAATGTCTTCCTTTAACATAAGGGCATATGAGTAGGACCCTGAAAAGGACCACTGTCTTCATTGAGCATCTTACATATTGAACTGTTTGAATAATGGTTGCATAATTCAGCCAATATTAAATCTCAAATCTCATAGACCAGAAACTAAATAGAACCACCTTGTGCCAGCCAAAGTTTTTAAGTTTTTTTTTTAAAACATTATTACAGTATTTTAATAATCCACGCCCCTCATCTTTTCTCCTGGTCTTCTCTGTTTTACAGTCTATTCCAGTTTCTTTCCTCTATCAGTTCCCTTTTAATTTCTACCTCCTTTTAAGTATCTCCTTCAACTTAAGAAGAAAGAAAAAACTCCTTTTATCAACAGTTGGCTAGTAAGACAAGCATGGTTTTTCTTTATTGGAGTTAACTGCGTTCTGACCAAGTATGGGGGCCTGCTTCACCCTGTGCCAGCTTCACCAAGAACCTGGCTTGGAAGAAATGAACTTCAGAATGAACTGAAGCCAAGTGCTGGGCTGCTGCTTTAGTTGTGCCTGGCAACAGCCCAGAATCATCTTTAATCGAACAAAAAGGGGAGAAATTGCAATGAAGTTTCACCAGGCTCTGAGGCTGGCAGTGGGATTCTCAGGGTTTATGTAGTACACGTATCAATCAGCAGAACACTGGAAGACACCAGAAACCTTCTATTCTACTAAACCAGTAACTTAGAGGGTCAGGACGTGTTAACCTTGAAAGTTAGGACTCAACACTGTTTCGTAATTCTTGCTAATCAATAAAAATTAAAAATGAATGTTAGGACTATAACAAAATTGGAAAAAGGAAGCTAACAGATTAGCTGTCAGTGACTAAAGCATTGCCCTAAAACAGGAAGCTTTTCTCACTGGATCCTTTCCAGTGGAATTCAAGTCTGGTAAATGTAGTTTCACTGCAGACAATCAACAAATATAAAGCCTTGGGGCACCTGGGTGGCTCAGTTGGTTAGGCGTCTGCCTTCGGCTCAGGTCATGATCCCGGGGTCCTGGGATCGAGCCCCGCATCAGGCTCCCTGTTTGGCAGAGAGCCTGCTTCTCCCTCTCCCTCTCTCCCTCCCCCACGCTTGTGATCTCTCTCTCTGTCAAATAAATTAAAACCTTAAAACAAAAAACAAAAAACAAAACAAATGTAAAGCCTTGTAAAGGTGATCTAGACAGCACGTAAGGATAACAGTGGTTACCTGCATGGCTGTGAGAGTTGTGCACTGCATCTACAGGGGAGCTAATGACATCATAGGCATCCAATATTATGACATGTACTGAAATGATTAATACCCACGAGGGTAGTAAAGTGTTGTGATAAATTACATGTTTGACAGTAAGTTTTTGACAGAAGTGTCTTGAAGAAGCAGTGTCTTTCTCTAATTCTCAAGAAGGCACCATATGGGCCAGTGGTGGTCCTAATAACCCACCATAAAAGAGGTTTTATAAATCAAAGTGCTTCCCAAATTTCATCAAGTATTTTGAATGACCTCAAATGATCAAATTTCAATATTAAGTCTTGTCACCTTAGGCAAATCATTTAACTTTGTGAGACACATTTTCTCTTCTGTAAAATCAATGGCCCAACCAGGTGATTATTCTGTTCCTTTCCATTCTATTGTTTTAAGATTCTCATTATGGAGCAGAAATATCTATAGCTTGTTTGAGCAGCATGGATCTTTGAGGATTCTTCCAAAGATATCCAAATGACTGAAAAAACATCTCTAAGCTAAGATCTCATTAACTTAAACATAAATGTCAGGCAAAATGTTATTGCAAAAGAGAGAAGAATACTAGCTTTGAACATCTACGAGGTGCCAGGCTTTCCCTTACATTTGCTCATTCATCTTTATAACCATCCTGCAAGTTATTATTATACTTATTTTATGGAGAAGGAAAGAGTTCGTGTATTGTTGAACCAACCAAACTGCTCTTTAGGAGCTTCTAGTATCTATTTTGTCTAGGTAAAGGAAAACTGGACAACATAAATATGGATTTTATATGAAAGAGGCCAAGAGAGATCTGGAAGATGTGAGCATTCAGTCTACTCTAATGGAAGGACCAGAGGTTAACAAACTATGGCTCAAGGGCCAAGTCTGCCCATCACTTGTTTTTTGTAAATGAAGTTTTATTGGAACACAGTCATGTCCATTCATTTATGTACTGTCTATGGTTGATTTCACACTACAAAGGCAGAAATGAACAATTATGGCCCCTTTTGGCCTACAAAGTCTAAAATATGTAGTATCTAGCCCTTTGTAGTAAAAAGGCTGCTGACCCCTGAGCAAGCCATATGCTTGTAATTATAAGCTCCCATTCTATCTTACCATCACCTTCATTTCTGCTGGAAAACTTGAGAGACAATGCAGTGTGTGATTACATCCACCTTCACTCAAGCTTACTGACAATTCTTTTCTAGCACTGACAATAGACTAGCTCTTCAATCATATCCCCTTTATCATTCATTGGTATTATGAAGCCCAAACCAGTTAAACCCGTTTGGGCTTCCCTCTTTTGCAATAACATTTTGCCTGACATTTATGTTAAAGCTAATGAGATCTTAGCTTAGAGATATTTAAACTTTTCCCTCACCCGCCTAAGATGTTACTTCCCTAGTTCCCACTGTATCTAGGCATTATTCCAGATTGGAGGTAGAATCAATGTGACACTCATAATTCCTGATCGACTTTGTTGAACTCAATGTTGTGGTAAAAAAAAAAAAAAAAAAGTGCCATTAACACAAATGTCTTTACTTATTAATATTGATCTCCACATATTATTTTTGACAGGTAGGACCAGGCCTTAATCAACTTTGACCCTTTTCAAATAGCATAGATGTTTTCTCAACTTCCATATACCCCACACACAATAGTTGCGTATTTCATGGGCAGAATCCGTTCCATACCAGGGTATGTGTATAGTCCTAGAATGTCAAAGAAGGGTTTACTCTGTATTTCAAAAAGAGTAGTTTATATTTTCCCCCAAGGAAAAAAAATTATAATCATTTTATAGCAACTTGAGATGTAATTCATATCCTATATAATTCAAAATATACAGTTTAGTGATTTTTAGTCTATTCACAAAGTTGTGACACCATTACCTCAATCGACTCTACAACATTTTCATCACCCTAAGAAGAAACCCAAACTCATTAGGAGTCACTCCCAACTCTCCCCCAAACCCCCAGCCTTAGGCAGCCACTAATCTATTTTCTCTATATATAGATTTGACTACTCTGGACAATTTCATACAAATGAGATCATACCATAATGTGGACTTCTGTGTCTGGCTTCTTTCACTTAGCATAATCTTTTCAAGGTTCATCCATGTGGTAGCATGTATCAGAACTTCATTTCTCTTTTATTGCCAAATGATATTCCATTGTATGGATATGCCACATTTTGTTTATTCATTTATTTGTTTATGAACATTTGGCTTATTTTGAAATTTGCTATTGTGAATAATGCTGCCATAAACATTTGCTTACAAGTTTTTGTGTGGACATATGTTTTAGTTTCTCTTGGGTATGTACCTAAGAGTGGAGTTGCTGGCTCATATGGTAACTCTATGCTTAACCTTCTGAGGAACTTCCAAACTGTTTTCTCAAGTGGCTGCATAATTTTACACTTCCACCAGCAGTTTACAAGGATTCCAGTTTCTCCACATCCCCACAAACACTTATTATCTTTTTCATTTTAACTATCCTGTATGAAGTGGTATCTCATTATAGGTTTGATTTGCATTTCCCTGGTAGCTAATGGTGTTGAACATCTTTTCATGTGTTTATTGGTTTTGTTTATCTTCTTTGGAGAACTGTCGATTCACAACCTTATTTTTTAAATTGGGCTCTTTGTCTACTTACTGAGCTATAGCAGTCCTTTATATATTCTAAATATAGTTTCCTCCCTTACCTGATATATGACTTGCAAAAATTTTCTGTCATTCTATGGGTCGTCTTTTTGCTTTCTTGAGGGTATCCTTGGAAGCACAAAAGTTTTTAATTCTGATGATGATGCCAATTTATCTATTTTTTTTCCTTTTGTTGCTTGTGCTTTTGGTTTCAATTATTTAAGAAACCGCTGCCTAATCCAAGGGCATGAAGATTTACATCTATGATTTCTTCTACAAGTTCTATAGTGTTTGCTCTTATATTTAGATCTTTCGTCCATTTTGAGTTCATTTTTATATATGCTGTGAGGATGGGGTCCAACTTCATTCTTTTGCATGTGGATATCCAGTTGTTTCAGCACCATTTGATGAAATATTATTTTCCTCTACTGAATTGTCTTAGCACCCTTTTCAAAAATCAATTGTCCATAAATATGAGGATTATTTCCAGACTCACACTCTATTCCTATTTTATTCTTTTTCATGCTACTGTAAATTGAATTGGTTTTTTTCAGTATCATTTTTGTTTCATTTATTGATATTGTATAGACATACAATCAATTTTGTATTATTACCTGTGTCCTGCAACTTTGCTGAACTCATGTATTAGGTCTAATGTTTTTTAAAGTATTCTTTTGAATTTTCTATGTATAAGATCGATACCATCTGCAAATAGAGGTAGTTTTACTTCTTCCTTCCAAATCTGGATGTGTTGTATTTCATTTTCTTGCCTAACTGCCCTGGATAGACCCTCCAGCACAAGTTGAGTATAAGTGCCAAAAGCATCATTTTCTTGTTTCTGATTTCAAGGGGAAATCTTTCAGTCTTTCATTATTAAGTATGATGCTACCTATGGGTTTTTCACAGATGTTCTTTATCAGGTTTCAATTCCTAGTTTGTTGAATCTTTTTATTACGCCAGGGTGTTAAATTTTGTTAAATGCTTTTTCTGTCCCTAATGAGGTGATCATGTGGATTTTGATTTGCTCTTACCTATTTCCTTTTCCAAACACTCAAGAGAAAACTGTAAAAAATGAGATTTACTCGATAAATCATAATTTTACCAAAAAAGCCATAAAATATAATTATTGCAAAGGTTTATAGATAGGTAATCTAAGAGTATCTAAGTGAATCAATTTGAAAAATACAAAAATATAGCTGTGTGAAAAATTTTTTTCTTACTAAAAAGTTTATCTGCTGATCATAGGAAAATATACTCTTATAAGAAAAAAGTTGCACAATAAATTAACATATAGCACAATCATCACTTTTGCATACACATGAAAAAAATGAATGTAGAATTATTGAAATTCTCTGGTAATTACTGGCATCTCCTGCTCCAAATGTTTTCATATTAAAATAGAGATTTGTATTTTAAAAACATCATTGTATTGACTGACTCAAAAAATATCATGCTTTATATTTCAAAGCAGCACATTAGCAAGCAGGTTTGTTGCACAAGTGTTCAGAGCTACGGTGCCTGGGAAGATAAAACCAAGATATAATTCCCAATTATGGTTTGATTATGCTCTGTGTTGTATATATAATGCCTTCTGCTTTAATTCGCTCCAATATTGGTCCATAGATGTCCTTTGAAAAGGGCCCCATCAGGCCTTTACCTTTAATTTCACCTAGAAGAAAATAAATTTGTAGTTACCATTTTAAAGTTATTATTATGGTTAATTTCCACAGCAAGAGTCTCCATAGCATAAACAGGGAAAGGCGTTAACTACAGATCGAAAGCAGAGCTGGACTTAGGGACAGTATCAGAATTTACACATTTAACTGCATTAACTATCGCCAAAATGATCAGAGAATAAAGTGTAGTAAGAAAGTAAAGTAAACCTAACTTGTCTGCTTTATTTGCTGATGCTTTTTTTAAAAAAGCATAACACCAACAGAATGAATTAAAACCAATCTGATTATTTGGGCACAATAATAATTGTGCTAGGATGATTGAAACAGCAAGTCTGAGTTCTTTCCTTAAAGTCCATGATGACCTCACCCCTCATCACCTCTTCACTCTGGTTCCTTGGTAACTCCGTAGGTCGCTTCATTTGATATTAGCTAATATGCTACTGTGGATACATTGTTTCAGTATTTCACATTTAGACGCTTGATGTTTGTTACTCCCCTTGCACACTCACAAGGGCCAAATGAAGGATTATACTCAGAGGTAATGCTTACTGAATGTATAGCTGATCTTAAGGGGAGAGAGAAGAGTTGAAATTTGAACTTAGTTTAAAATATTTATTGAGTGCTAACAATATACTGAGAAATGAAGATTAATAAAACATGGTCTGTATTTTTGGGGATCTGGAAGTGAATACCCTCTGCTCTTTCAGTGTTAACACCCCTAAAATATGAAAAATGAAGGAAAGAAAGGAAGAGTTAACATTGCCTGGGGGGTGATGTATGTGGTAGGAACTTAGGAACTTCATGTATTATTTCACTTCAGCATCACAAAAAAAATTTAAAAACCCCACGAAACTATGAATGAGGATAACAATCCCCACTTTAAGATGAGGGAGCTCTAGCTCAGATATGCTGAGTAACTTGCACCCCATCACTCTGCCTTCTTGTCATTGAACTGGGCCAAAAATGTGTAAGTGTAAAACTCATGGCTTTTACTCACCATAAGGTGATCTCCCAGTCAGTCAGTATTTAGAACTTCTGAGACAGCTCACTTTTAGTGAACACCAGTGTCATATTCAAGAGTAATTATTTGGCATCCAGGCACTCAGTGACTTGGAGATGACATGGTGACAGGTTCAGATCTCCAACGAAAGAACTTACCATCAAGCAACATCTTGGCTGCCATAGCAGTGGGTAACCCCACAGTTTTAGCCATGGCTGAAAAGCCATTGATGTCCCCATAAACCACAAGATCAATAGTTTTATTTTCCAAATGTCCAGAAGGATGTCTGATTCCAAAACTGTCTCTCATCACAATCATATCTTTCTCTCCAGGGCCTTAAGATAAATAAACAGACATTCTTCAATGTCATTATCATCACAACTCCAATATTGCAATTCATCTGCTCCTACCCTTTTGCTCTCACAAGTTTCTCCTCCCATCATATGTGGTCCCTAGACAATTACCTACACTACTCTTTAGCCCAAAGGCCAAGAGAAAAACTCAAGAAGTGATCACTCTGGCCACGTTCCTTTGTCCAGGTTGGTATCACTGTCGCCTGGCTACAGACCTGAAGGCACCCACTCTGCCCCCAAAAGCTCCTTCAGCATTTCCCTAATGCATTAAAAGTAAAACTAATAATTTGTAGGGCGCCTGGGTGGCTCAGTCGTTAAGCGTCTGCCTTCGGCTCAGGTCATGATCCCAGGGTCCTGGGATCGAGTCCCACATCGGGCTCCCTGCTCA